AGTTATTAACAGAAATCCAAATGGATCAGGTTCATAAGCAATTCCTGTACATTTTGGAAAAGTCGTGAATCGTCAATGTAAAGTGTGTTTAAAGGCCTTTTTAGGTCCATGGGGACTTTTTCAGCTGTATCCACTGGTGGTGTATTGAATTACTTTACAAAATAACTGGAACACCGTCTATTAAAGTGCAGTACAAGTCAAAGCAAAAATACCCCAAACTATGGCCAGAAAGCTTTGTCAACACCTCTCTACCGCTCTCCCAATATCAACATCTCATTGTAAAATACTCAAAAGAGCGATTCATTGCACTGCTGTTGTATTAGTTTGCATGAGGCTGCACTGTTCCTGTCCAACCCTCTGAGTATACACTCTGTAGACAGTTTATTAGGTGCACCGAGCTCAAATGAATATAATCTAATACAACAACCCTGCAATCCATCTTTCCTTCATGAAGGTTATAATGTTGAGTTTCTGTTGAAACTGTTTAAGAGATTCAACTTTACGGTCAGTTTGGAGGATGTAGTTTGTGGTGCTTTTGAATTGTATCTTGCGTTATACTGCTGCCCTGTGTCAAAATCTAGTATGATGCCTTTACTATTTACTGTACTCTCAGTTGATATTATGTATATGCTCAGGCATATTTGTGTTTAATTAAATAATCGCAAGTTAACAGACAGTTTAGGTAGGCTGGTTGGTTTATGGGGCTCTGGGCAAACTGGGTTGGGGGGGAATGTGAGCGAGGGAGGCTCATTAGAGACTCCTATCAGGTTGATCTGTCCCTGGTTATACATGGAGCTGTTTCATTGATATGAATGGTGTGGACAAAATATGAAACGCCTATCGGCACAATGGACTTCAATTCAACAGAACCACAAACTACAGCCTCCAAAATGACCATAAAGTTGAATCAATGCTTCTCTAAAACAGCTTAGGAATTATTGCATAGCTGTTGTTAAAGACTGAATTATAATTTGTTTTAGCTTGGTGTACCTAATAAACTGACAAATGAGTGTTCAGATGTCTGTTAACCATTCACTGTTTCCTAGTAAAAGACAAAAAAATGCACTGAGAGAGAGACACGTCTCAGTGTAACGCAATACAATTCAACATCACCGCAAACTGCAGCCTCCAGAAATGACTAAACCTGAATACATAAACTTGGTGAAGGTGGGATTGATTGCAGGAATGTTGTGGTAGTTATAGGTGCAAGCCTACATAATAAGCTGGCAGGTATTTTGTATACAGGCAGTTATGTTTATATGCCTTCACCAACGTTCAGTATTAAAGAGCTTGCTTCAAAATCACACAGTAGCATGTTACCCTGGTATATATATATATATATATATATATATAGATGGATAGATAGAGATGCAGTCATGCCCGTACACCTCCCCGCCTCAGCCCATTTACTAGAGGTTTACTTCCACTTGGGTGAATAGTAGTAGTAGTAAAATACACTGCTTATCTATCTGCTGCTCTGCCTCAATCTCCTCCCCTCACGACTCCCCCACTTCTCTCTCTCTCTCTCTCTCTCTCTCTCTCTCTCTCTCTCTCTCTC